GGATGCGGATTTAAATAGTGGGTTTGGTGCTCAGACACAGTTTTTCGTTCCCTGTCGAGCAGCCCAAGGGCGCGGTGCTGCTCGCGGGTAACTCGCTCTGTCCCTGAGCCCGTGTCCTTCCCGCAGGTCCGAGCAGCCCAACTGGGATTACCACGCCGAGATCCAGGCCTTCAGCCACCGCCTGCAGGAGAACTTCTCTCTGGACCTTCTCAAGACGGCGTTTATCAACTCCTGTTACATCGAGAGCGAGGAGGCGAGGCGCCGGCAGCTCGGCGTGGACAAGGACACGGTCGCCCTCAGCCTCCAGGATAACACCAAACTTGCGGAGCAGGGGCTGCGCTTCGCCCGCGCTTACCTGACACAGTGCTTTGAGGGCGCCTACCCACATTTACCTGCCGAGGGCGTAGAGGCGCTTGTTAATTTTCTTACCGGTCAGGAACTTGTCTCGTACGTGGCTAAAAACCTGGCTATCCAAGACCTGACGCTTTGCAGGGACTTTCCAGCCCCACCACAGGTGCTGCAGAGGACGTTCCTCGCGGTGATAGGAGCCCTGCTGGAAAGCAGCGGGGCAGAGAGAACGGGCATCTTTGTCCGGGTAGGTCCAGTAAACATTGTTTTGTACCTCGATCCGGGGACATCCCCAGAAGTTTGACAGTACCTGTAACAAGACAATTTAATAATGAGACCTGTTGGTTGGTGGCAGTGGTCAGGTGGGGTTTTGGGTTTTTGTGTTGGGTTTTTTTTCATTGAGAAGCACGGGCTGATCGAGTACATAAAATCACACATTTCTGGTTTATAATGGTGATGTTAGTATTTGATGACACTTGCTAAGGGAAAGCATTATATTCCATGCACTATACTATCAGATAATGAAATTATTCCATGTGAGATCACATATATCATAAATTTAAAAAAAGATTATATAAACAGGGACTGAGTTTATAGGTTTTGCATGTAGGAGTGTGAACACCTAAACATATTTCATACAAAAGTGTTGAATTCAGTGTAACAAAGTAGTTTTTGTAGCTGTTGTAATTTCAGTCATGCTTTTAACTTATTTTTAGTTTTGCAATGGAGAAATGTTTGTTAAAATCATTGGGAGGTCTCTTTAAGAGCAAGTAGCAGTTTACAGGCAAGAGAATAATCCAAACAGGTTGAAGTCCTAAGGGTTTGCCTGTTCCCTTCAGCCTCTGTGCAGAACTCAAGTTCTTGCTTAGCCCCAGCCTGTTGCTGAACTCATGTCTGTGCCCAGGCGTTGTCACAGGTCCTCTCTCAGGTTGGTGCTGTCCCTTCCCTGGGTCTGGGGGCTCACTTTGCCCTGGACACACATCTGTCAGTGGCTAAACCAGAACCAGAGCTGCCCAGTGCATCAGCTCTGCTGTGCTGGGATGGGGCACTGAGGCAGCTGCCTCATTCATTTCACAGTTTATTGTCAACTCTATTAATGCCTCTTCACACTGTATTTTCATTAGGAGACACCTGAAGCTCAAGCCATTAATTGTAATATCTAAATATTCTTGTTTAGGACTTCTTAATTCCCCAGCTGATCGGAAAAGACCTGTTTGAGATCTGGGAAGTTGTAAATCCTATGGGCTTACTGGTGGAAGAACTGACCAAGAGGAATATCTCTGCTCCAGAACCAAGAATTACCAGACAGTTGGGAGTCAGCACAGTTCTGCCAGTGTACTTTGTTGGGTTGTACTGGTTAGTACAATGTTAATTTAAAATGACATGGATTTAATTGGGGGAGAGGGGAGGAGGGAAGATGATTTTTTACTTTTCTACTCATATGCTTTTTGGTCAAGTTGTTTGAGAAAAGAAACCTTACAGTGACTTCTGTATAAAATCAGCCATTTGAGTGTTGGCCATAGCTCAGTGGTGATGCATAGGCAGTCTCTGACTAAAGGGCTTCAGAGGCTAAATGGGGTGCACCAGAGAGCCTGGGTGTGTGTTCTGGGTGACCTGTCACGGGACCTTTGTGAACATCATAACTGCATGGCTGTGGAGGGATCACATATCCAGGGCTTTGGGAAGGGTAGGGTCACCAAGGGAGGTGGGATTGAAGAGAGTCTCATTTTATATTCCAGAGAAGGTTTTTAACTTTCAAATCACAGGCACTGAAAACTAGGCAAGAGGAGTATCTGTGTCCAGGGAAGACTTAGGAAGTGCCAGTTGTCCCTGGTGCATTTGTGTCAGGTAGGATCAGCCCTTGTCCTGGTCTCTTGCCACAGGGTGACATCACTTCTCTGGGGCAGGACAAAACCCACATCACTGCTGCTCTGCTAAATGAGCTGCAGATAAACACGTGGGAAGGTTGCATTAGGTTGTTCTGATTTATCATGCTTTGGTTTATATGCCTTCTAAATTTATCTTATAGAAAAGAAAGGAACTTGGATTATTTTTCTTCTGGGATCCCTGGTGTCCCTTCACAAACTGCTCCTATTCAGTGCCCGCAGGTGTTGATTAAACAGAGCTGAGCACGTGCTTCATAACAGAGAGAGTTTTGCTATCAGTCCTTCTGAAGCAGTTTGAAAATGCTTCCTTACCAGGGGAGGAGACAAGACAAAGGCATTTCAGTTCCTGTTTAAGCAAACCAGAGTAATGAATTTGCATATTTTTAACGGGGTTAACAAATTGAATGCTGTAAAGAATCAGTGATACACTAGGAATGTAAATGAACAGAGCGGTGTTATTCCAAGAAATGGACACATTTCTGACCTGAGTTTCCATTGTTGAATATACAATCACTTATCTTTGCAGGAAAGACCATCAGGAATGTTTAAATTGTGTGTATATAGAAATTACCTTCAGTATTCACAGAACACTGGAGAAAGAAACAGTCTATTTTTTTCATGGTACGCAGCAGCGCTGATGATTTCATGACGAAAATGTTTGTAATTTTATTTTCTTTTCCCCAAGTGATAAGAAGATTTTAGCTGAAGGCCCTGGGGAGACTCTGCTCGCTGCAGAGGAAGAAGCTGCGCGGGTGGCCCTGCGGAAGCTCTACGGGTACACAGAGAACAGGAGACCTTGGGACTACTCAAAACCCAAACAAGGACT